TTTTTTTTTTTTTTTTTTTTTTTTTTTGCATTTGCCAGGGGAGTTGAGCAGAGAGAGCGCAAACAGCCTGATCAGCCAGAGTACTTTAAATGGGTTTCTGCTATCCATTTAAGTGTGTGGGAAGCTGCTGTTGCTGCTACTGTGATGTACAAGGGACAGGAAATTAGATCCTCTTTTTTGTTGTTGTTGTCGAAATGCATGCTTTAAATTGCTCGAAATTCATTCGATTTGAATCTAAAGTGAACTGAGCAATTCAATTTTTGCAAAAAGGAATGAGAAATGCAAAAACACTGAATTGTAAGACTAGCTTTTGAGAAGGGATAAGTTTCCCATTTTGCTGACTGGAAAAGCGAACGTCACCTACAAGTGAGTGGTACTTAAAAGAACTGAACACACACCAAATCGGCAAGTCTTCAGAGAAACAATACTGTACATAGAAATGCTAAGCATAAACAGGTCATCACAGAATGGTCCCGTTATAACTGTTTCGAGCGTGTAAATGCATTGTGGTAGAATCGAATTCACTTCGGCAATTCGACGACCCGGGTAATATTTTAGGGATAATTTACATTTAACGAAATGAAAATTCTTGAGCAAATTTTTCGCTTCTATACTATTCTGGCTTTGCCATTTTTTTAAAATTATAATATTCCACCAACTATTTCTATCCTTAATTGATATAGCTCGTGGCCAGAACTTACAGCAGGCGCTAAATCGGACTTCTAAGAGATACACTGCAGTCATTTACTTCAGTGGTAGATAATTCATATTTGCTTCACTATTCTGATAATTTGAATATCCATATTGACTATGCACGGTTTTCAGATTGTCTTCAACACGTTCAGCAAAGGAGAATGGGGTAAGGAGGAAAGAAAGAGCAATCCGTACAAGAAGGGCGATGATATCGACATTCGAATCCGCGCCCACGATAGCAAATATACTATTTATGCTGACCAGGTAATTAGACTAACTGTAAAATATGCTAATAAGCGGTGTAATAAATGGTAATAAATAAGCAAGAGGGCAGGTTTTGCCGGAAAACAATGTAAAAAGAATGTGATGCAATCCTGAACAGTGCCTAGATATCGGGCCAGATATCCAAACGAGCAAAACTGGAGAACATCAGGGCAGTGTGCGCAATAAAAACTCATCGTGGCATGAAGGACACAAATACATTTGACCTATTTCACGAATAATAAAAAACAGTTTTAATTTTAGTATTTCAAATTGAATAATTGTAGTTTTGAAAATGATAATCATAAGGATGACACTCGTAATACTGCTTGAAAAAATTATCGAACTGAAAAATTCAAACAAAAAGGTTTTTTATTTGAAAAACGGTCGCTGAATATACTTTCTGGGATTTGTCTTAGAGACTTTTATTTGGAACTTCAGTGTTATTAACCTTGGTGAATTATGCAAACGTTTTAAATTTTTCTTTTCCTGAAAAAAAGGAAAAAAAAATATTGCTGAAGTGTAATTGAAAACAAGCATCAAATTATCCGTGCTTTTCTGAATGTTCTTCTGGTTTTATTTACTTGCTCATTTAAGTGGACATTTTAATTTCTGCGTTTGGAGTCTCCAAGGGAAAAACAGGCCTCAGTTGCAGTTTTTCTGCTACATCAATCAAGCACTCCAGTACTGCTGTCTGCCCCATATTGTTTGCTTGGAGAATTGCTTGAAGGGTACTTCCAGACGCTTTATGTCTCCAACAAGCCTAGACAAGCCATTCATTGTCAGTTAGCGAACAGTTGTTTTTTCTTGCTCTGAAATATTCGGTTTCTTTAAATGCAAATTGAAATTAACTTCTCTCAGACGAAACTTCTATTTTTCCATTTTTTCAGAAGGAAATTAAGGAGTTTGAGCATCGCGTTCCACTCTCCTCGGTGACACACTTCTCGATCGATGGTGATGTGCTCGTCACATATATCCACTGGGGAGGGAAGTATTATGTAAGTGTTTTTACCGCCAGAAAAATTTTTATTCTTTTTATTTAATCATCTAGAAAAATCAAAAAAAAGCTGAAAGTGAAGAGCTCCTCAAGACAATGAATGCGATGAGATACCGATCGTTGCATTCTTCTACTCTTACTTACTCAGAAGATATGCTTTTATAAAATTTTGAAAAAAATGCTACTACAGCCAGTTCCATACGAAAGTGGATTAGGAGGCGAGGGTCTGTCGCCAGGCAAAAGCCTGCTCATTTACGCGACACCGGAGAAGAAGGGCAAACGATTTCACATCAATTTGCTCAAGAAGAACGGTGACATTGCGCTTCACTTCAATCCGCGATTTGATGAAAAAGTATGCTTTCCACTACCACAGATAATTTTTCCAGCCACAAAACAGTTCAGTTTAATTTCTTATTATTTGTCGTGCGAGAAAGTATAATCCGGTGAACAGAGGAGGGTAAATTCGTCTGCTTCACATGCTGCACTGATGGCGGCACCCCTTCACAAAACCTTCAGTGTAGAACCTAGTATTATCTTGTACTTTTCAGTGCAGAATTTGATATTCTGTTTCTAGGCAATTGTTCGTAATTCGCTAATTGCTAACGAATGGGGTAATGAAGAGCGCGAAGGAAAAATGATTCTGGAGAAAGGAATTGGCTTTGATTTGGAACTCAAAAATGAGGAATATGCGTTCCAGGTACTCCTTTGCTATGCTTACTTTTTAGCCTGACAAGGTGCGAAAGCGCAATAAAAACTCTTGTAAAATTGCAGATACTTTTTCAAGAGGGTAACTCCTAGGTCTATCGTGCAACGCCTTAAAATAGGTTTGGGAAAGCAGATATAGGATATTTAGCTTTACAGCAGTAGTTGAATTTTTGGGACAGAAGATATTAGTTCTATTTCTTTAGTGGAGCGTTGGGGAATTCAGAGAGACATGAGCCCATTCATTTTTATGCGTTTTTTGCAGCTATGCAATGCAAAAACGCATATTGACGAGAGGTTGTCTGTATGCCCGTGTGTCTGTGTATGCGTCTGTCACGCACTTTAAGCTGCAAGGCTAAAATTTCGGGAATTTAATCTGCATGCACGTGCCGGCCCCAATCCCCAAAATGGGTGCCAACACCCGCGTAATACCTGCGTACGGGCTGGCCAAAGTTTTTTGGAATAAGTTCATAACTCGGGGATCTGAGAAGCTAGAACGCTGAAATCTTAGGGAGAAGTTCCCTGTCCAAGTGGATATTAATGAGTTTAAACCCTGCCTGCGGGTAAGCGTGGTACCTACGTACGGGCCCGTGAAAGTTTCTTCCGGGTAAGTTGCAAACTCGAGGACGTGAGAAGCTAGAAGACTGGATTTTTAAGGGGGTGTTTCCTGACAGTTCTAGCGGCCAGTCTGAAATTCTTTTGGCTAGAAGCATCTGCCTGGAAAACCAGTGCCTTTTGCAAAAAAAATCTGCGGGGAGCTGTGCAAAAAACGCATCTTCGCCCGGGCAGCCCGTGCGTTGGCCAATTATTTCTTTTGTGATTACCCTTGGAAATCATTTGAGAATATTTCTGACAATAGATTTTGTCGGATGAGAAGTTAGGTTTTGCAAGTTTTGAAAACTGGCTTGGGATTTGTGAACTTCGATCTACAGTTTATTAAAATCACTCCTGTCTTTCCCCTCTTCCCTCCGTTTCCTTCTCTTTTCTGCGACACTTCTCTCGCTTCAACTTCTTCCCGCCCAACAGTCTAACTTTTACAGCAGTTTTAGAAGAACTGCACCAATTTGCATCCAAGATAAAAGGAGGATGAGCCAAGCTCACTGATAGCAGAATGTTTTTAGCTTGTGAGCAAAATTTCGGAAACCCCTCGAAAATGTGCACTTTATCAGAGTATGTTGCAGATCTTCGTCAATGGCGAACGATATGCGACGTATGCTCACCGCCTGGATCCACACGAGATCAATGGTCTTCAAATTGGAGGTGACCTGGAAGTGACCGGTATACAGATGCAAGGATGAAGCACCCTTCCGCTTTCTGCATTTTGCATCTTCGCCCATCCCTTGGCTCCCTCAGAACTTATCTTCGCCTGCTATAATTTCGTAGAGTCCTTTTCAGTACAGTGAAATTTTATCAAAAAAAAAAAA